TCGCACTAAGTCACTGCGTGATCTAGCGTTTAATTCTTTGGCAATAATTTAGATTTGGAGATTCATAATCCTTAACAGTTTCATGATTTATGGTTACTTAACTGTATTCTATAAATTTCAATAGTTTGTTTTTTACCTAAATCTGAGTAAAAGCAAATGAGTTCTTGAATGTTTTCACCATTCATTTTAATAAATGAATGTCATATATCCAAAACGAATGTTAATTACTTCGCACAGGAAAAAAGACCTAAAGAAAACTAAGACTCGTTGTATTGTTATAGTTTCCTATTGTATTAGCCATAAAGCAGTTCACCTCACCAATACGCTATATAAGATACCAGCTTCCATAGGTATCTGGCTGTTAACTGGAGTTTTGAAGACGCAAACCCGATAAAACTAAGTTTATTTCAGAACTAGCCGTTGATACATAGAGCAAATCGTTACTATTGGGTAGATGACTGATCGTAAGCATACCTGTTGACGACTGACTCTAATGATATTTTATGACCTTAATGTTTCCTAAATTTTAGATTTCATGAGAGGATTTCTCATTGCAATATCGTGCCACGAAAGTACACTTGTCTTCTGGATACTCATTCTTCCAACACTGTTGTTCATGTTAAAACTCACAGTAAACTGTCACCAGAACCGTATCTATCAAGCAGAACTTATCACGATTGCGTCTTTCGCACAACTCAATTTGCTTCTTTCATATTTGCATTCTAAAAGTTAGCACTCTTTTCGTTTGAAGTCTTAGCGATTAATCTCTTAACTGAAGAATCATTTAATTGTTGTATTTGGGTGACAATTCTGTTTAATGAAATTGCTAACTAGTTGTAGGATATGTTTTTCTCCTCTGAACGAGAAATTCTGCTTCAGAATTGGTCATGGTTAGACCTCAGTCTATCCATAGGAAGCAGAGTAGTTGGCCTCATTATCTACTTAGGGTTTCTCGAAAGTCAGATTGGCTCCAGATGATTGGTAGTTGATATGATATTGAAATGGATATGGAATGTAGAATTTGGTAATTCAGGGAAGATATATTTCCACTGATGATGAGGATATTATACTACTCAACTGTCCTTCTATGCATATAAGAGTGTGAAGCATGGTATATAGGGAAAGCAAATATGAGTAGATTTTAAGTTTTTCATTAAAAGTGCTTTACATTTCTAATGTATGGCTCGACCACAGAATGAGTAACATTCAAGTCAGGAGTGAAGTATTAATGAAAAACAAAACTCATGAATTAAATCATAAACATTCACCCAGTGAGACAGATATGTTTTTTGTTTACTTAGCCATAGCCTGTTTAGCATACAATACTGGAATTAGACAACATTTTATTTTATAATTGAGGAAAATTATTGTCATAAAATAATTAGATCTTCTAACAAAATATGACAGAATTACACACATCTGGTAAACTGGTAAAACGAAATAGCTTTTTTGTTTGTTTGGTCACAACAATTTTTTTATCTCTAAGGATAAATCCAAATAAACAAACAAAATGTAGTATTAAAAGAAAGTGCTATATAAACCGTAAAGGCGCCAGTTTGAACAAATTAAATAAATTGTCATGAAGCTAGGACATGGAATTCGTAAATACTTCAAAAGAATGAAAAAAAGAGGTTTTCGTTTTAAAAATTATAAAAAAAGAAGTATCAGAATATTTTAGTCATCAATAAACTACGTTGTAAGCTGACATCATTATCACTCTCAATTAAACAGAAAATCTAAGTGAAATTATAAATTTAAACAGTTGAGATCATGAGTCAATTGAAGCTAGACCACCATAGAAAACCTGGAAGCACTAGACGGCCGTTTCATCCTATTATGGGACTCCTCCACAAAAACCCCTTCTGAAATTATAAATATTAAAACTATTTTTTTTTCAAAATGGTTGTTTCATATACCATCTCTTCTGAGTACATGATAATACTAATATGTAGATGGAGTTGGCTGAGTTTTTTTTGTTCTTCAAATATTGATACAGAATAAATCTTCATTTAGGTGATAATAAAATAATAATTATAAAGGAACTTTTCTCATCGTTATTTTTTACAAGATTGAATGAAAGTCTGGATTATGTCTTCCTTAAGTGTCTCATTCAATGCTGATCACAATTATGCTTTAGTTTTATTTTGAACTGATCAGTACTTCAGTTCATTATGAAAATGTTTTCCTATATTAAACTTGTAAGTCGGACAAGTTAATGTTGCTGAAACACTAGTCGATAAATGAGTGTGTAAATTATTAGAAAATAAGTTATTGGATGCTACCTAGCACTTACAACAAACTATACCTGAGCGGTTCATGATTGGCAGTACTTCGGAAAAACTTATTTGTCAGATTAAAGCATACGCAATTTGTCTAAATTGAGAACTGTGCTTTAAGCATGAAAACAAATGAGTTTGTTTTATCCAAAAGCTAGTTATGTTCCTCTTCGTACTTATGGTTCATAATCTATTAGAGTTTTATCTAATTTGTGATTTTGAAGTGGTATTTCGTTTTGGAAAGAAGTAATCAATTTACCCTATTTCAAGTGGCTTCTAGAATGCGCTAAAAGAATGTATTTAACGACTGAACTTAAGTTAAAATATCATCCCTAGGAAAATGAGAAGCATTTTAAACAGTTTATAAGTGATTTAGCTTGACAAAATAGGAACACGGATTATACTATACCAGATCAATTGTCTATTGCATGATTTAGAAAGCAAGTTATTCTGAATCGAAACATACACTAGAAATTACACAAATATTGATCTTGGAATGGCTCTCGAAGTGTTGTATTAGTATAGCAGATAATTATTGCAACTCTCTCGTTTCTTATGACCTACTGCACCAATGATAAATGCAAGTTTAAAAACGTTCGTTAATATTTGAACGAACAACTCCACAAAAGGTGGAAGTTTAAAATGAAACTGTATTTGTAAAAATCCTCTGTGTAAGGCACCTTTCTTTGAAGTCGTTTGATTCCACTTTCTGAGACTTTTATTAATATAATTTCCTTTCAAAAGCGTTGCAGTGTGACAGTTGTTTCATTTAAAGTTAATCTTCTTGAACAAAATGTACAGAATTTAAGCTTGAGTTTTATAACTTTCATCTGTTCTTATCTGCTTATTAACTTGTTATTGTTTAGTGGCAAAAATTAATACCAAACATCAGGATCAGTCTTAGTAGGTTCCAAACTTCCACCAAGCTAAATAAATGGACTGTGATGGGAATTGTAGCTAACGGAGGACCTATTGGACTTTTAGTTGTATTGGCAGTGCTTTTCTGTATTTGTGGTGTATGCTACTTATGTTGACATACATAAGTAGTATGTAACACCAATCGGAAGTGAAGTATCTGGCAATAGAAGGTTAAGGAGATCGAATTGAACAGAACAGAAAATAACTTTAATAACAACAGGAATGAAGAAGTTCGTAAGAGACAATTGATGGAAGATGTGCAGATGAAGTTTATAGCATGCATAAAGAAAGACTGACAGCAGAGGCGCTGTTTGTATGGGCGAATAAGAACAGCCTAAACACCTAGCAACTACTTGGCAAATATTCGTAAACAAGTAATCGGGCCCTTTCTCTATCCAAACTGTTTATTTCACATGCATCGTTATTCTGACTGAAATTAATGTGGGTTATTTTAGCAATACAATTATGTATTTGATGTTTCGCATATGACGTGCATATCAGTGATTCAGAAACAATTTTTTCAACCTTTAACTTGAATTTTTTATTTTTCCTTTATATAAAAACATTAACATCTAATATCAACTATTAATAACTCAATCTTACACATACACAAATACACACTATTCGCTCAGTCATTTATTTTCACATCGTGAACTTTTGACATGATTCGCATTTAACTGACTCATGTTATCCTATTTACTAAAATCAACATCCAAATATGATTGGATTAACACAGTATAGATTTGATTGTTAAAACGCTATATATATTTCTTTGATGATTTTGATTATTACCCTGAAGAAGTTCAGACATGTTAGCTGGACGAAACGGAATTATTTATTTAAATTTCAATCGCTGAGATTATTTCAAATACAATTTTCACTTATAATGACTCCTCTATACTCGGCACTCAGTTTCTGTCAAACTATTCGTCCTAATATTGACGGATATCCGTATAAATTATTTTATGTATGGTTCTCATATTTCACGAAGGCACACGGTAATTTTATACAAAACAAAAAATTGGTCTTCTCCATCTGAGTTCTCGTTCACTACATATTAACTGATTTTAGAAGAGAATGACAAAATAAAAATTTTGAGCAATGAATGAATACTAACCGACCAAAACTGAATGCTGATTGATCCTTGACCATATCTTTTTGTGATTGGTGAGAGAATCTGACTTTAGATGGCTTAGATAGTCTTTCAGTCTAGCTAGATCATTTGTGATCAGATTACTCGCGATATGCATGTTTTAAACAAAAAAAAGACTGTGACAAGCATTTTTGTCTTGGTGGAGTTTGTAAACTTTAAAAGAGTCTCTGTCTGAGTACAGAGCCCACCTTAGAATTACCACTATCAGGACCATTTCAATTATGTGGTAAATGTTTTGACCGAGCATGCTACTGATAACCCTTAATTTCGGGATTCCTCGAACTATATAGAATTCTACTGCGAATAATCTTGGAATTGAGAGACTAATGCATTCTAATTTTCTACCTTTTGTGTCAGCCAGTTGATAACTGTGTCAAATAGGCCTAAGTGTTTCCCATTGTATATTTACAATTGGAAAGTCAGTCAACTATAAATAATAATCATGCAATTGCTTTCTATCAGATTTAATACAAATACTCACTTCTATTGACAGAAATCTATAGATAGGCCTCAACCTTCCTAAATAAATTACGGTCAGGAAGTAAACAGTTGATACAAACGTATGATATTACCTAGAGTAACTAAAGACATTAAATTGCTGTTTTTACCATTTTAAAATCTTGTCGCTTTTTAAAACTTCATACTATAACTGAATTAGTTTTAATTAGAATCACTTTACCTCTTTTCAAATAGTGAAAAACACTACCAAAATTTCATGCAACATATACGTTTCTCGATAAGAGTTATTCAAAAGATTAATGAAAGCCACATGATATTCATCTCATTGGATACTATAGAAAAAGACGATACAAATAAAAATCAAATTTCTACGATTGTAATTAACAAAAGCAAAAAAAACGAGTAGTAGGTGAAAGAAAATGTATTTTCTATACTAACCTTTTACACTCTTCTCTGCATTTTTTTTCTTTCTAAACAGTCTTCTTAAATTTGCACTTTTTCATTTTTATTTTCGTCAAAGATTCGATTGGCATTGTTAAAACAGTTGTCAAAGTTAATCTATACATCTCTTCTTTTTTTTGTTTTTGGACATTGTGCACAAGATTTGTAGTTAATTAGATAAACAACTTCTACATACACATAAATATATACGTATGTATTTGTGAATATACAAGTAGAAGTTTGTAAATAATAATGAGAATGGTTATAAATTTCCTATATACTCATACTTTTGAATAAATATTATTATACAAGTAAGATAACAATAGAATACAATAGATAAATTAAAAATCATAAAAGAGATTATTTTAGAAAATAATTTTTTTTGAGAAAAAACTGAAATTTAAACAATGAAATGCGAATATTGAATTAATTAGAAGAAAAAAAAGAAGAAAAAATAAAAAAGAAAGAAGTGTAAAGTTAACATCAGAAAAAGAAAATAGTCAAAGAACATTTTTTTTTAGAAAAAAACGTTTTTCCTTCTTCTTCTTCTTTAAATGAACTTCATGATCGATATTGTAGGTGAATTAAAAAAAAAGAAGAAAAGAAAATCATATTAAATCACAAAGTTCTGAGCAAATATTTGCGTTAAAAGTTCCCAATGAGTATTTGAAGTATAGTGCAAGGCTCAGTGAAGCGATGATAAATCACAATGTGTAAAATTCATTGATATTTAAAAGGAAGAGAGAGAATAAGAAATTTACATTAAAATAGAACTTAAACTTATCAAGATACATTTTTTGAAGGTACTAATTATACTTTATTTACATTTGGTAATCATTTTGTATTGAACTTTTCGTTGTTACATTTTAATAGTTCGTAATAAAGCATATAAAAGAAATATGAACAAGAAAACATAAATAGTAATAATAATAATTTATTTAATGAATAAATTAAATGTAATGAAAACTCTTTATTTATTTTAATTAATTAGTTATTGAAATGGAAGCACTAAGTTTACTGTTACATATAAAAAACAATCAGCATTTCATAGTGAGATGATGAGAATAGGAATTATAAACAATTTTATAAGTGATCAATTAATGAAAGTGATGGAAAAACAAACAAACGAATAAATAAGCATGGAAGTAATTTATAACACAATTAAACAAAACGGGATAAAAAGAAACAATAAAGAAATAAATTAAACAAAAAAAAAACATTTGTCTATAAAATAATAATTCAGTTGGAATTTTTAAGAAAAAAATCGATATTTTGTTAAAGCAGATTGTTTGAATTTATTCAACGTACAATATTGTTATTTGAATAAGTTATGTATATGGAAGTGATCAGGAAATCATTTGAAGTGATTTGAATATAAGGCTTTTGTTACATAATACATGTCTATTTAAGTAAGGATCAATTATCATTGTATAAGCCCATAATAAACTTATTGAATATAGAAATAAATTAATTAACATTATTTTTTTTTCGATTGTAGAAAGAAAAAATGAAAAAAAATTATTAGAAATTAGTTTCAGTTAATTTTTTTCTATTCATTAAAACAATTTCATTCGATTTAGGACTTTTTACATATTTTGATTGTATATTCGTTGAAGATTTATTGATTTCTGTTTCTTTTAAATATTGATTATTATTATTATTATTAACTGGTTCTATATACAAATCTTTCATTGGTTGAATTATACAATTCACTTGTTTTTGTAATAAAAAATCATCAAATGTAATTCGTATTGAACTAAATGGTATACCAGTTTCAACAAAATTTGCAATTCTTGTATAAATTTCTGGATAATGATGTCTTAAACTAACACCACGTTCACGAAGCATACGTTGTAAACGAAGCATATAAGCTTCTCTAGCAGCTATAGCTTGTTTATCCATTTTTATTGTGGTAACGTTTACATGTGATATTTCAGGATTTTCAATATGTTGTGTATTTTGCAAGGTAATAACTTCACTTTTATTTCTTAAATTTGAATGAGAAGGGAATGGTAGTATTAAACTTTGCTTAAATAAATGCACTGGACGACCATCCTTTCGAGCAATCAGCTCATATGCGCATACAACTACAATTAAAACCATACTTGAAGAAGGATTGTATGATTTACATGGATTAGCAATACTCGAATCTAATTCTTCCAGCTCATTAAGTGTAAGATATGTAGGAGGAGCCATTAAACCTCCTGGACTCGGTTGGTGAAATCTTTCCCATTGATGAAGCGCCTTTTCTATAGAAGTATCATCTAATTCTTCATTTACAAATGAATGCTCTAATGATCGTTGTAAAAATGTTTCGGCATGTTTAATTAGTGAAAATGATAAGAGTATACCACCTCTTCCAAGACGAGCCATACCAGTTTTAGCAAGAGCTGTAAGGCCTGTAATCTGACCTGGAGCAAGATTTCGCAACAAACGACAACAAACACGTTTAGCTCTAGAAAATGAACAGGTTGAAGGGTGGTCACTTGGATTACTTTCACACTCTTCTCGACATTTATTTGAACAATATAAAGTAAAACAATTGGCACATGCACACCATTTATTGGCTTGAGATACTGGTAGGGGTTTTGTTGAGCATGTAGATTTACCACAACTTATATATAGTAAACCATCAATTGGGTGACGTATGATCGCTCCAGACAATTGATTTAATCCGAATTCTCCTAAATTTAATGGTTTATAACTGTCTGGTCCAGCAATAAGTTGTAAGTATTCATAACGATGAGAATCTTCTTTTATGTCAAATTCATGAGCTGCTATAGAAATAGCTTCAGCAGCAGTAGGAGGAAGATAACGATGTTCAGCCTCCGGATATACAGGCCACCAACCAACACTTATTAATAAATGTTCAAGAGCTGATGGTCTATTAGCAAGAAGACTACGATGCCTTGATGAACATGTATCAAGTAATGAAGTTAAACAAGTTAAATCAGATAATTGATCAAATCCATCTGTAACTTCAGATTCAGTTTCACCATCTGCATCTGCTGAGTATAGTTCATTACATGAAACTTTATCCGGTGGATTTATCATTTGAGAAGATTCTTTACTTTCTGAGTCATCTAAACTAAGACAATTTTCAATACTACTAGCATTCTTTTGAATGAATTGCTTTGATTCAAAACTATTTTGATTTAAATATTCTTTTGGTTTTACGAAGACATTAGTAGTAGTAGTAGTAGTAGTAGTAGTAGTAGTAGTAGTAAAATTTTCATATTTTACATCATATTGTTTTGGATCTTCTTCAAAAGAAATCATTTGATGCTCATTTGAATTTTCCGTTCCTGAATCATGATCAACATCTTTTATATTAGATAATGATACTGTAGGTTTTGAATTATTATTAAATTTATGTGTTATAATATTTGGTGATGAAATCAAATTAATTTTCTTTATTGAATTACATTGATTTATATCTAATTTCGAATTATTATCTAAATATAATACTGATTTATTAGTATCATATTTATCTGGTGGTTCTGTAGTTGCACGATTAAATCTATTCAGTTTCTCTTTACACCATCGTTTTTCATACTTTGGTATAAAATCTTGTGGATTTAATTCAATTAATTTACCTTGTCCTTTAGTATAATTATGTCTTGGAGCAACTTGTGGTCGTATATCTTGTGATTCAACCGATTTATATCGTTGTGCACTTAATGAACGCATTGAATTATTTAATTTTGATTGAATAGGACGTAGATAATTATTGATTTGTCCAGATTTTTGTTTAATTAATTGACTAGGTCTGACAAAATTTGGTGGATTTAAACTTTCTGATTTTGGCCATATTGGTTCAGCTACTGTTTCAATTGTTTTTTGTGATAAATTCGATATATTTGTAAGTGAATTATCACTAGGTTTATAAATACTAGATAAAGATCGAAGTGATGAAATTAGTGCTTTATTTGTACGTGGTGTATACGAAGGGCTGGGAAAATGCTTTTGAGTCGCATGTTCGAATTGTGTTCTTCTTTCGTTTGTATTATATTCTTTAACTGTGTTAGTGGCTATTAGATCAGATGTGGTTTGTAAACAATTTGCCTTATCTAACCATTCAGGAATATGTAGTTTTGTTAATGATTGAGCTATTCTTAACTCATGTGTTGAACGCGCTTTCTCTTTTAATCGATCAATCAAACCTTGTGCACCACCGCTTGTTGTTTTCTTTTTGTATCTTGCTACTTCATATTGAGGTGGTACTTTTTGTAGATCAGATTCTTCATCATTAACAAGACCTTGATAACTTTTCGCTTTCTGCCATTGATCATTTGGTGATTGAATTAGTTCAACTTCACTAGTTTCTACTGTATTTCCACCGAATTCATTAGATTTTTGACGACGGAATGCCCCAGGAGTACGTGTGTATGCCAGGTTGTATAAACTACGAGTTCTATCTTGATATGTATCAATTATTGCGGCATCAAATGATCCGTCACTGACTTGAGTATTTAATTTATCTAAGTCAGTTTCTAAAATAACCGGTCGTTTGAAATTTTCACCAGTGTCAATATCAGTCTCTAATAAAGAACTATACGATTTGGTATCACCAAAAAATTTCTTCGTTAATAATTTATTTGATTCGTTTTGAATGTTATATACGCCAGAAGAATATTGATAAGATAGTGTGGTTGGTGTTCTAGCTTTTTGAATTTGAGCATCTAAATCAAACAATGAAGCAGACTGTCTTGCTTCCGAATGTGGTTCACTTTCTGTATTTAATTGATTTGTGGCTTCATTTGTGTCCGCTCTTGACTCAGCTATAGCTGAATCTAAATCTGTAAATCGATAACGTGAATCTGATCTTGAATTACGTGGACGATAAGCTGAAGACTGAGAGTTTTGTACAGAACGGGATTGACGTTCCTCTTGTCTTTTGCGACTAGAGCTCCTCAATCTTTCACGAATCTCATCATCAGTGGGTATTGGTTTCAAATGCCATTTCGTACGTGGAAGATAGTGAGTTGGTGGTTTAGATGTAACTGTACTAGGAGCTAGAATATGATGGTGTCTTGGGGGGCTTGGACTCATTTGTCTATGTTTATGGTCTAAGTCTCCCTTTAAAATTGGAGTATTAGATAACTCAATTGGTTCTTTAATTTTATCCACTCTCCTTAGTTCTTCACTCTTTATATACAAACCTGTATTATAATTTGAAGGTAAATGTTCACTAAAATCATTAGTCATTTCGTTTGATTTAATCACAGGTTTATGAGTTTCATCTTTTATTGTTACAGATTTATATGATGTGTAATTTTGGACTGGTTCATAATTTCTGTCTCCATTTATTTCTCTTACTTCAAGAATATTTTGTCGACAGTTTTCAGATACACTTAAATTAGTAATTATTTGATTGCCTATGGACTCTTTTTCGGACAAAATTGGTCCTGGTTTGTATTTAGTAGAATTATGAACTAAATTATCTAAATTACCACAATCACCTTGTAAAATACGACTTTTTCTTTGTGATGCTAATTGAATGTCATCTTGTTCAGCTTTTGTTAGTTCATAATAATGAATTGATGTAGGTTGCTTAATTGTCTCAAAGGTTTTTTTATTTTGTAACAATGATGTATTATTACTGTTATCTATATTCCTTGATCGATCTTCTATAATAAATGGGGATTTAGTAAGAATTGTTGATGATGTTGCTCCTATTATTGATTGATTTTTAACATAACCTGATGTTTTATTTATTCGAGTATATTCATCTAATTCATTATCATAAAAATTTTCTGTATGATTTTCATATGGTTTATTTAATTTTGTTTCATCCTTAATAGTTATTAAACCATTTGTTGATCTAAAAGCTTGATTATCATGATTTTTCTCATATATGTTACAATCATGATGTTCATTTGAATATGATTTGTGAAAATTTGGTTGTATTATTTCATTTGTATGTTTTGAATCGGTTAAATTATTTTCATATAAATTTGATGTATACATTTGAGGTGAATTAGAACTTTGAATGATTTGAATATGTTCTAAAAATGAATTGGAAAAATAATGGTAATATGATTTAAGTAAATGTTAAATGGTGTAGTTTTGTAGAGATATTTGTAAAATTTAAACGAACAAGGAGTCCCACAATATGACGAAACGGCCATCCAGTGTTTCCATGTTTTCCTTGGTGGTCTAGCTTCAACTAGCTCATGATCTCAACCATTTAAATTACTATAATATCCACAAAACCTCTTCTGATATTTGTACGTTTCTTCAACACCATACGAGATAGAATCTACACTTGTCAGATTTTACAGTAAGCAAAAATTATTTTTGAAATCCACATAATCCAATTTGTGAATCACTTGCTCATTAATTAGTATTATTTTTGCCACTAGTCAAACTGAATGAGAATTATATGGTATTGTAAACTGGTTGAATTCAAGTCATGGACTAATAGATTTTTGTGGTCTAAATATATTCTGTTCTAAAAACCTCAAGGTGTTGAGCAGCAAATCATGTGAGAAAGTATGTGAAGGTTTCTGGGGTATCCCACTCTAGGGAAGAAAATTAACTAGTGCTTCCTTATTTCCAGTTATTCTTCAGTTGACTTCAGTCAGTCATGTAAATGAACTTTGAATTACATAATTAGGTAACATTAAACAACTGCTGTCAGTTATGTTGGTATATTAAAGCCTTGTTGGCTGCAAAACTATTAGCTGTCTGGTACGATGAGTCATAAAAGAAAATAACAAAATATAGTCATATAAATGGTTATAAAACATGCGCTTAACTATGTTTTTGTATTTTTTTTAACCCTGAGGTCAATATTTTCACCTTTAGCAGCATGTTGTAAGTAATCAGTGTATGCAGTTTCTTTTCAAAATGATTAAATCACAACTGTATGTTGGGAACCTCAGATTTCCTTGGTAAAAGTAAACTAGGTTAGCTGGTTGATTTCAGTATGCAAAAATATTGCGTGAAGTTTGGCAAACCTGGGACGATAAGGTCAATACTTACAAATTATATATATATATATATATATATATATATATATATATATATATATCGAATTCAATACCTCAGTTTGTGATAGCTTAGTTTCTTTTAACCATAATTTTTTTGTCATTCTTCATATTGAATACTTTGTAACTAAGTAGTGAAGATAATAATTTATCAGTTTGCTTGAATGTCTCAAAATGCGTAGAACTGCGAAGTATATCACAATGTTCACTATTTTTTAGCAAAGGGCCCCAAACCACGGGCTAATCTATAGGATAAATACTAGACAATGTAAAATCCCTCACTACTCTGTGAACTATAAGGTGTAAACAGTTCTGTTCTACAAGACTAAAGTTGTGGTTTGAATAACTTCTTAGTAGTATTTCCGACTGGAACACTAGGTAGAATTATTTCCCCCAAAACTGAAGATTCACACTAACGATAAATATCGAAACTCATCGGACCAGTTTACCAGTTTAGAACAGCACAACTGTCAAGTCCTCCCTGATTTTCAGTGGGTATTTAGATGAAGATAGTCTGTAAATTAAACTATCATTGAATTGTCATTATTTCAAATGATTCTGTTTTACGTTATTTTTTACTCTTCTTTATTATGAATCAGTGAATTTTAATGATTTTCACTGATATATAAAGTCATGTAATATCTTAATTTGGTTTATTCACACAAGTACGATTCATATTTTGTATTCTTCTTTAAAATGTTTGAAACGATCTTCAAAGCTGAAATATCACATAAATGTATTTTGAAAGGTTCGAACTCTTGAATGTTGATGTTTAAAACTGAATTCATCAGTTTCTTTTAATAAATTAGATCTTTCTACACATATCTCCATATTACCTGATTTTTATGCAACGATAATACTTTTATTGAAATCTAGCACATCACTAAAAATTCTACTGTATTTGGAAAATCAGTCACAAACTTAAGATTTTCGTTGAACTCATTAAGTATCTAGTCAGGCTATATCTATATGTATATCCGTTTTGTCCGATTTATGTTTCTTAAATAGAATCGCTAATGAACTTGTTCATGCATGATATTTCCTGAAGTGTATGAATTAGTGAAAATTAATAAATTATTATTTGAAAATCAATTTTTTTTGTTGGCATTGGAACTGAGTTCAGTTTTTATATTCTTTCATGTTGATACATGAAATTTCTACGAGAAAGACAAAAAATTATTGCCAATAAAAATGTCATAAAATTAATACTTTTAGTAACTAAGTGAATAAATAATGATCTAAAATAATGTTCATTTATTATTTCTTCAGGGATTAAATGACTTCTAATAATTGATAATTAGTTTCTACTTAATGATTAGGCACTATAAATGATAGATTGTTTGTGATTATATTTTGTTAAACACCATGAAAGCTTTTGTTTTGATTAGGACAAAGATGAAAATAAAACTGTGTTGAAAATAAGTGACACAGTAATTCATTTGTTTTTTAAATAGTTAAAACCAATTCCTTCCACTATGAAGACAGTTTCCTTCAGAAGAGGGCATCAACCAATGAATTAAAAAGATTCAAGAAGGATTAAAGGGTTATTTTTTCTATTTTTTAACTTCTTGTGTGTGTTCCTCTATTACCACCCTTGAGAATGAAGCGATTACTCGCAGATAGGCCGTTGATTGATTAATTATGCTAGAATCCATCAAACCAGAAATTTGAGCTTCAGCCAATTCCTGATGTAGTGCGGCTATCACAGAGTTCTGTTGGAAGATAATCGCTGTATAGGCAACAGCTTCACTGTACATTTTGCGGGATAACGATCTTGATATGAATCGCTGGTCAACGGTCGATTACTAGTTATTTATTTAAGTAGTCTATGTTTAGTTGTCTAGTTTAAAGATAGTTTCCCTTAACATGTTTTATTCATACCCAACCTAACCGACTCATATACAAACGAACACTTCAGTCAGGTGTAAAATTCCATTCAGACATTTAGTACATAGACAAACAGAGCGGATGGTTTGAAAGAAATATTTATTCTCATTAGTCGTTTTTCTACCGAACAAAAGTATGTCGTTCTGAACATTTTATAGGTAGTTTCAACCAACGAAAATGAGGGTAGTAGCTAAACACTTAAACGATACTTTTAAACTTGATACAAGCCTTTTTGTATGTGTAAAGTGATTGTAGATAATCAGCAGAAAGCCATGGAATCTAAGTTTCATGCTACTTCAAACTTGTCAATAACCAATATCTCCAAGCTTATGGGTAGTGTTTCCCTCCCTATGTTATTTGAACTCTAGTCTTATGGTTTTACATACACTGCCGATAAACCAATCGGGCTACCACTAAAATTTTGTAAGTCTGAGATATTTAACCTGATTGATCATTAAGGAATAACAGAGGTGATTGTTGTTTGGTGCTCATGTTTTCATTAATTTATTAACTATTTACAAATCCATGTATCTAACGTTGAGTTGTACTGCAAGGATGAGGGCTAGTGATGCCAAGTTAGTCTCCAAACTAAAATAGGTAGCGTAGAGTTTGATTCTTCAACTTGGTGACTGAATCTCGAATGGTCTAACCACTGAGTCAGTGTTTCAAACTGAGAATTCTATATTGTATTAATATATAATGTTGAATAAAGTCATTAATAATAATAATTTACACAGTGCTAATGCACTCAACTAATGATATAAAGAACGTGTTCGTATTGATGGAATCTTATCTAGTGATTTTATTACGAAATATATAAGAATACACTAAGAAAAGATAAAACGAATACATCATAATTGTTAATATAGTCGAGCTTAAGTAAGTTTTTAACAAAAAAGTACTACTTCACATATAAAGTTAAATTATCAATAGTTTTGTGTTGTGCACACAACTATTTTCAAAACATCATTAGAAACGAACAAAACAAATACAACTATTTATTGATGAAAAAAAAAGAGTTTAAACAGTATATACTCCAGGATCACATTTACCAGATGAAATGGTGTAAGGTGGGAAAGATTGAACATGTGCAGAAGAAACAAAGATAAATGACGATATTGGAACAATACGATTTTTAATTAGTTTCATCATGTGTTTCATTTATTATATTTATATGTTCTTTCACTATAAATGTATGATGTAATATTATGGTATGTTTAAAAATAATTAATTATTTATTCATAAGAATGAGAAATTTGTTTCTTGTACTTATCATATTGGTGTAAAGAAATATTTGTATAGAACTGTATTCTACTTGTAGTCTAAGAGTAATTAGTTTACTTTCAGCCTATATAATTCTTTTTTTCCATCTCATATAAAATGTATGTATTCAATGAATAAAAGTAGTTTTTATGTGGTACTCTACATGATTCTTCATTTAGTGATGGTTTTTTTACATTTTTTAAAACAGTTACTTCTAACTCAAAAATTAAAATATACATTACAATTGTACTTTAAAAGTGAACGATTTAATTGAAAACTGTTCTATAGTTTATCTGTTTATTAATGATTGTTTAAACCAGTGTTAACAATTGAATTATTTGTATGGATTAAATTAAACACTACCGGAAGGGGTTTTTGTCGATATGAGAGTAATTTCAATAGTTGAGATCATGAGTCAATTGAAGCTAGACCACCATAGAAAAGCTGGAAGCACTGGACGGCCGTTTCGTCCTATGGTAGGACTCCTCAACAGTGCGTAACCACGATCCTGTCCCGCGAACGTTTAACCAAAAGACTACTGAGTCGGCATTCAGCAGTTTTGATGTCTAATTTCAACTAATCCACGAAATTGCACCACCATCCATCATTGTCATCAGTGGGTTACTATCTCACAACTGACCTGGTTGAACTCCATTAGTTACGGCTTAACTCATGAATTTAACTAGTAAATTACCAAAATCTCCAGCAGTGTGCGTCTTGGGTTCGAATCTCACGAGACGAAATCGTGAGTGCTCATTGCTGAGGATGAAACGGCCGTCCAGCGCTTCCAGGTTTTTCATAATGATCTAGCTTTAATTGACTCATGATCTGAACTATTGAAATAAACACTATCGGTTTAGATATTT